TATAGTAGGCAGAATGTTGTCTTCATGACCTTTGCACCTGCTATCACATCAGTGAGAATGGTGCATTACATGGCAAAACAGACACTGAAGACATAATTAAGGTTACTAATCAGTTGACTTTAAGATAGAAAGACTAGGATTATTCAGGTAGCACAATGCAATCACATGAGCCCTTAAATGCAGAAAAGGAAGTCAGAGAGATGTGAATAAAGGGTAAAAATGGTAAATCCGAGATTTGAATCATGAGAAAGACTCCACCTGCTGTTGCTGGCTTGCAGATGGAGGGAACCACATGGTAAACATAAGAAGGAAATAAATTCTGCCAATAACTGATAATCTTGAAAAGCAACCCCAAACCCTAGATTGAATTGCAGCCCTGCTGACACTTTGATCTTGGCCTTGTGATACACTGAACAGAAATTCCATCTAGGCCATGCCAGGTTTTTGACTTACCAAAACTGTGAGGTGATAAATGAATGGTTGTATTTAATCATTATATAACATAAGCTGTTATATTTGTGACTTGTTATATAAAAATAGAAATCTAATATACTGTCTAAAAGGATGTTCATTACTATTACGGTTTTAATTCCTGAGACAACACTTCCGTGTGAAGAGATTCAACCACATGGAAGAATCATAAATGTAATTAAATGTAATTGTATGTTTGATTTGATGAATTATAATTACAACACCATTTTTACTTTTAGCCAAAACATAGTCAATGTATGGACAGTATACAGATTTACATCTGTTTCCATAGAGATTTTGTGTTATAGTAGAAAAAGCCCTGGAAGAGCAACCAAAATAGCTGTTTTCAAGTCCAATAGTTTCCATAATTGCACAGTAATTAGGTTTTATAATCAGTGTAGCTGTCTCAAAAAGGTAAATGGATCAGTGGATAGGGAGGTGGATAGATAGTCAACAGTCTATGTATTTAGATTTTTGAAAAAGTTATTGTATTCTAAGGAAGATTTAGAATGTATTTAGAAAACTCTTCCTTCTGCATAAATGATTCCAGAGGGTTAATATCATTACAGGTGTCTCAACTCATTAAATGCCACTATGTAACTTATATACTTTTTTAAAGCAAACTTGCTCAAGCAGCAAATTCAAAGTGACAAGACTCTTTTTATCATATATGTGGCATTATTAATTTTGCAGCCGCTCCAGGAGATGCTAAAAATAGTATGTCATTAAGTCATAGATGTACACAGTTTTCTAAGGTCTAGATACTCACAAGTCTAAACTCACAAAGAAAAGATAAAGGAATTAAAAAGCTTATTAATATAAATAGTGGAATGACCAAAACATATATTGCCTTAGGCAGTACAGTTATTGGTTAATAACTCCTTATTATGTTATCATCCTTTTATTTTAGCACTTCATTTCTTATCCTTGGATCTGGTAACTTCTTTTTACACTGTAGACCTGTGTGTTGTTTTCCTGGCCAGCAATCTGACCCAGTAATAATTCAACATAATTAATCTAAACTTAAAGGTTTTCACTAAATCTTTATTGATACTGAATTTTAAAAGTTTAAGTTTTTTTTTTCAATGACTTTCAAAATATGCCTATGTCTTCAAACACACCAATCTTTTCTTCTGTGGCATCTAATCTACTATTAATACCAGCCAGTGTATTATTTATTTTGAATATTGTTTTGCAGCTCTAAAAGTTTTATGATCTTTTTTTTAAAAAGCTTTGGTCTTTTTTTGTTATCTTCTTGTTCTCTTCTCATCATCTTCATTGTTTTGTTTATATTCTGAGCATTTGGGACATATACATTAGCTATTATAATACATTTGTCTGCTAATATGCTCATCTCTGTTATTTCTGCATCTTTCTTTTGATTCATTTTTCTGCTGGTTATAGGCCATATTTTTTCCTGCTTCATTGCATACCTAGTAATTTTGTATTGGATCTGGGAAGTATGAATTTAACATTGTTGGATGATAGATTTTGTTTTATATAGATTTGGATTTTTCTCTAGCATGTAGGTAAGTTACTTGCAGATTTGAGACTTTGGGGATGGCTATTAAGCGTTGTGAGGGTGAACTCAGAGAAATCTTTGGTGTGCAGCTGATTCGGCCCAACTTCTAAAGTGATACCTATCCTTGGGACTATCCCTAATGCCACATATATTTAAATGTTTCTCTGCTTTTGACATTGTTTGAGCTCTAAGATTGGTTTAGAGTGGTGTTACCCCAACCACCTTATGGAATGTCACCCTGCTCAGGTGCAGACTAGTAATAAGGTAAATATTCAAGAAGACCTCTCTGTAGTCCTCTGAGATTCTCTCTGTGCTGGTCTCCTCTACGGTTTTCTTCCCAGCACAGTTGATCCTGCTCTGCCTCTTTTCACCCTGACTTCTGGTTCTTCAGCTCATTGAGATTACTTGACGTTGTTTGGTTTCTCTTTCTCTGCACCACATAAACCGACTTCAGAAAGTAACCTATGTCAAGCAGAAGTCTGGCTTATTTGTTTCCTTCCTCTCAAGGATCATAGTCCTCTTCTGGCTGTTTTCTAATGTCTAATGTGTGTGTGTGTGTGTTGAGGTATATATGTTTTTCTAGTTGTTTATTGCAGCAGGGCCATTCTCAGAGCAGTGCTTTAAGGGCAGAAGTGGAAATACCCTTGAAGTCATTTTAAAATGATATATTTTTCTACTTCTTACACTGAAAGGGTTCAGAAATAATGATATATCATGAACACAAAGATACTCAGTACCCAGATCTTTGCTTTAAAATCCTATTCATTGCTGAAATGAACCAAAACCCCTTATGGCTGATTTCCAATTTCCCATTGACTAATTTTAGACATGGGATAGGGAAAGTAAGAGATGAGGCTGGACATTCTTGTTACACTAGAAAGTTTGTAAAAAAAGAAATGCTAAAAAAAGATGAAAATATGTCAAAATTTTATAGATACTTGAATAGCTCATATAGACAGCATTTGGGAAACACTTCAGGAATACCAGTGAAACACAGGTGGGCTAGTGATTTACAGTAAAGGTCTTTCTCAAAATGCAGAGCTCCATTGGAGGACTAATTGAATAAATATAGATTTATCCTAGCAAAGCCTAAGACAAAAGCCATCACAAGATAAAAAAGATCCACCAATAATTTAACCACCAGATAGAAAACTTTAACACTCTTCTGATGAAGATAACAAAATCAAGGTTTCCTGCAATATATCGTCTGTAATGCTTTGTATATAACTGAAACTCCTTAGCCATGTGAAGAAGCAGGAGAATGGAATCCACAGTCAAGGAGAATGCAAGTGAACAGAAACAGATACTCAGATGGCACATTTGTTGGAAGCAGCAGACAAGGGTTTCAAAATAACTGTTATATATATATGTTAAATAATTTACAAAAGATGAATAGAATGGTGGAGAGAGAAGGAATTGCAGGACAAATATGAAGTAGCCTTAAAAAGTAACCCCCAAAAATCTTAGAATTAAAAAGATACAATATTTGAAATAAAATTATTGGATGGGAATAATAGCAGGTTGGACACTACAGAGAAAAGAATCGTTGTA